TATCCTGTCTTCCTTCTCTCACCCCAACCGGTCGCAGCAGATGGCCGCCCCTCCCTGAGCCTGGTTCTGCCGGAGGTTTCTTCCTGTTAAAAGGGAGTTTTTCCTTCCCACTGTCGCCAAAGTGCTTGCTCATAGGGGGTCATATGATTGTTGGGTTTTTCTCTGTATCTATGAAGCGCCTTGAGGCGACTTTTGTTGTGATTTGGCGCTATATAAATAAAATTGAATTGAATTGAATTGAAGGTACGCAGCACGACTAAGAAGAACCTGTACTGACTGTGAGCGTCTGGAGACGGGGCTGGAACATCAGCAGCACCTTTCTACTTCATCTGAGCGCTCACAGTGTGTTTTAGTCCATCATACACACAGATGAGCTTTTATCTGTGGGGTCATCCAGGTCATGTAGTCTGAGGAGCTTCTCTTCATCCAGGAGGCTTCTAGAGTTTAAAAACCAGGGACCCGTGTGTCCCAAATACCATGCCTGTGAGCACAATCCACCAATAGCAGCGATAGATGTTAGTTTAGATTTTTGGGTGGTTTAAGTTGCAAAGCTGTCATTTCAGTCTGCCAGGAGCTGCTCAGTTCAGAGCAACATGAGATTTTTGGTTGCCAGTAATTTGCTAATAGAACAGCCCCAGCTTTGTAATGAAATCATATAAACAGAGGTTACATGATCCAAAGGCTCCAATCTGGGACTGGAAGTACAATACAGTGGCTTGCAAAAGTATTCGGCCCCCTTGAACTTTCCCACATTTTGTCACATTTCAGCCACAAACATGAATCAATTTTATTGGAATTCCAGGTGAAAGACCAACACAAAGTGGTGAACACGTGAGAAGTGGAACGACAATCAGACATGATTCCAAACATTTGTTACAAATCAATAACTGCAAAGTGGGGTGTGCGTAATTATTCAGCCCCCTTTGGTCTGAGTGCAGTCAGTTGCCCATAGACGTTGCCTGATGAGTGCTAATGATTAAACAGAGTGCACCTGTGTGCAATCTAATGTCAGTACAAATACAACTGCTCTGTGACAGCCTCAGAGGTTGTCTAAGAGAATATTGGGAGCAACAACACCATGAAGTCCAAAGAACACACCAGACAGGTCAGGGATAAAGTTACTGAGAAATTTAAAGCAGGCTTAGGCTACAAAAAGGTTTCCCAAGCCTTGAACATCCCACGGAGCACTGTTCAAGTGATCATTCAGAAATGGAAGGAGTATGGCACAACTGTAAACCTACCAAGACAAGGCCGTCCACCTAAACTCACAGGCCGAACAAGGAGAGCGCTGATCAGAAATGCAGCCAAGAGGCCCATGGTGACTCTGGACGAGCTGCAGAGATCCACAGCTCAGGTGGGGGAATCTGTCCATAGGACGACTATTAGTCGTGCACTGCTGTCAGGGACCAAGCAGTAAAGCATAAAGGACACAGGTGGTTTTAATTCAAAAAAGGGGTTTTATTGACCCAAAAATATGAAAATATATTTAACAAAGCCAAAACTTAAACAGGCAGACTAATAAAAGAGGTCAACTCAATAAACTAAACTCAAGATAATAATTAACAAAACCTCAAACAACCATATGACAAACTGACCTGCTGAAATGACACACAGGTAGTGATGGCCCGCTTGAAGCTGAAGCTCCGGTGTGTGTGTCAGAAAGATCAACGCGCTGCTTCAGAAGCTCTGTATCGAAGCTTGATTCGTTTGGCCAGAGTCACATGATCGGGGACGTCCGAAGCTTCATTTAGAACCTAACTGCTTCGGTATCTGATTCAATGGTTTATAAGGAAGCGAATCATTCGCGGGATTTGTGGAGTGTTTTGATGGTGACAGATAGTGAACCACTGATCATTCTACTGAGAGATTTGGAGCCAGCGAGGAATAGAGGAGGTTCTGTTGTGTGGGAGAATTTTGAGTGGATTTTTGTCAATCGGGTGGGTTTTCCAGCTTTGTGTTCTGGCTGTTTGCTTTTGTTTTGTGCGTGTTTATTATATCTGAAAACGGGAAAAAGGTAAAATGTCAAAAATCTGCTTCCATAATATAAATATCATTAAATAACTTTAGAAAAACTTCCACTTGACTCTTTACATGTAATGTTGTAAAATATATATTTTATTGTTTAATTAATCTGAAAATGTTAGTCTGCCAAATGTGCAGCAATTGAATTTATTTATTCTCTTTAGCTGATAGTTTGTGGGCCCAGGTAGACTGTAAAACTGCATCTCTACCAGTTTCTCTGCACTCCAGCCTCCTCTGTGCCATGTGAAGGGATTTTCCTTAAGGCAGGAGAAATTATCTCCACGAAAAGGAACAGGTTCGGCCATCGCACATTAGAACAAATTCTCTTTTTAAATAAAAATGAAAAAGGGTTACCTTAAATGCATCATGTTTGTAATTTGCAATTTCATAAGCATTTTTCTTTTCCATTTCACAATCAATTCTACCCCCAGGTCAAAAATATGTCTGGGAAAATTTCCCTGATATCGTTAGCTTCATAGCATAATTGCCTAAGTCATTGACTTAGTCAAATGACTTAGGCAATTATGCTATGAAGCTAACGATATAATATTATTTATAAATACACCTGTCTAGCTGTTAATTGCATAAGTGCATGGAGGCAGGACCTCACAGCAGAAGCCTACTCCATAATGTGTTGTACATTATTATATGTATATATTATATGTAACGTGGTATTTTTCAATTATTGTATTTACCAACATCAAGAAGTCACAAGCAAAGAAAGACCACACCATGGTGCATGTTTAAACAAGGAGAGTTTACTGGTCAAAATGATTTATTAAACAAATAAAACACATTTTTTTTAACCACCAAAAAAATACACGTTCAAAGCAACAGCGGCCCAATATCAGACAGAACTCCACTCTGTAGAGAGAGCAGTCATTATGAAGCAGTTGGTTTTATTTTGTGGATTCAAGCTGCTCTTTGTATTTTTGGCCACCAGATGTCATCGGAGAGGACTGTGTTGAAAAGCTTCGAATAATGAACCGTTTTTCAATACAAGCTTCAGTGCTTCAGAAAGCTTCATTTGGCCATCACTACACACAGGGGAACTTAAATACTGGTTTAGCTAAACCAAATGACACACACGGGGGAAACAAGATGGCTGCCATATAACCAACTAATACAAAACATTTAAACAATCATGAAACACCCCCCAGGCAATGAAGCATGTGGTGCAATCCAATTAGGCTGTCAGTGGTACTTCAGGTCTCCCAGCCCTTTGCCACACCTTTTGCCAGACAGGAGGAGAAGCCAACCCCCAGGTAACTCAAACAAAGAAAAGATGTATTAATATAACATAAAACGGAACTTTGACCTTGCAAGGTTAATATGTGTGCACGCCATATAAACATTGGAAGGTGTGATGGAAAAATAAATACATTTAATAAAGAAACAATATTGAACAATAAGAATATTTTAAAGTAGTGACTGTAAATTAAAGTGAATCAACGGGTGGTGAGGTGTGGAGCTTACCATGTGTGGCATGCCATCACAACTGCACAAAGTTGGCCTTTATGGAAGAGTGGAGAGAAGAAAGCCATTGTTAACAGAAAACCATAAGAAGTCCCGTTTGCATGTTGCCACAAGCCATGTGGGGGACACAGCAAACATGTGGAAGAAGCTGCTCTGGTCAGATGAGACCAAAATGCAAAATGCTCTGTGTGGAAAACTAACACTGCACATGACTCTGAACACACCATCCCCACTGTCAAATATGGTGGTGGCAGCATCATGCTCTGGGGGTGCTTCTCTTCAGCAGGGACAGGGAAGCTGGTCAGAGTTGATGGGAAGATGGATGGAGCCAAATACAGGGCGATCTTGGAAGAAAACCTCTTGGAGTCTGCAAAAGACTTGAGACTGGGGCGGAGGTTCACCTTCCAGCAGGACGACGACCCTAAACATAAAGTCAGGACAACAATGGGATGGTTCAAAACAAAACATGTCCATGTGTTAGAACGGCCCAGTCAAAGTCCAGATCTAAATCCAATCAAGAATCTGTGGCAAGATCTGAAAACTGCTGTTCACAAACGCTGTCCATCTAATCTGACTGAGCTGCAGCTGTTTCAAAGAAGAATGGGCAAAGATTTCAGTCTGTAGATGTGCAAAGCTGGTAGAGACAGACCCTAAAAGACTGGCAGCTGGAACTGCAGCAAAAGGTGGTTCTACAAAGTATCAAGTCAGGGGGGTGAATAATTACACACACCCCACTTTGCAGTTATTGATTTGTAACAAATGTTTGGAATCATGTATGATTTTCGTTCCACTTCTCACGTGTTCACCACTTTGTGTTGGTCTTTCACGTGGAATTCCAATGAAACTGATTCATGTTTGTGGCTGTAATGTGACAAAATGTGTGCAAGTTCAAGGGGGCCGAATACTTTTGCAACCCACTGTATTTTACCTACACATACATTCTTGTATTTAGACAACACCTGAGGGATAAAACAAACTGTAAATGTCTCCAGCTGGTGTTAACAGCACCACTAACACATCTGTGCTGATGGGGTGTGTGTATCTGTGATCTACAGCTCATGTCTGTCACATCAAATGCAGCTGAGTTTATGTAGATCCATAAAGCACAGCTGATCGTCCTGCGCTGTCTGTGGTCCTGAAATGAACCTAATAAACAAAGATGTGTTTGAGGTTTATCAGTGTAAAAGCAGAGATCAGACTGATGTCCATCAAATCTCTGTGATGCCATCTCTGTGCACAAATGAATGGCACAATATCAAGAGCAACAAATCAAACACTGCATTAAACAAACTGTGCTAAATATTAGCACCATTAGCAGGACACTGTGTGTGGCAAATTTTGGTAAATCAGTTTGTGCACATAACTGAAATGTTCCCCTCTCGATGTTTAGCACTTTGACAAAGGAGCAAAGAGAAATTCCCACGTCTGCCACACAGTTTTCTCTGTGTGAACACAGACAGTGTTTCTTGTACCCAGTTTGTAGGAGCTGGGATTGGACTCCACCACAGCAGCCTCTGTGTGGGATAGATGCAGTGCTCTGTAGTATAAAGCACTCTGTCAGTGAGCTGGACTCTCCAAACCAGCAGTCATCGTCTAACATCTGCCTTCTTCAGCTGTAACCGTGTGTTTCTCTTGTAAACTTGGCTCTGATCATATGTGCTGTAATATTCCAGCTTTGCTTCCCGATCGTGCTGCACAGTCTGCACATGCTGGCCGGCTCCCCCAAGCTGAGAGCAGTGGGACTGCGCCTCATGACCGCTCTGTGGAAAAAACAGGTTTGCAATAATAACGCATTACTATAAATGTCATATTCATGTGTTCAAAGCTTCTGTTTGTCTTTGATTGTGTGCTGCTTTGGTCATGTCTGTAAGGACCGGGTCTACCCAGAGCTGCAGCGTCTAATGAGCCAGCAGGACAGCAGGGTGGTGCTGGGGAGGGACGCCCAGTGGGAGCAGATCCTGGCCAGGGCCGCCTGTGTCAGGGACATCTGCAGAGAGAGGTGGGTCCTCCCATACTTACAGAAACAGTGGGCACTTCCTACATTCACTGGTTCATTCATTCAGTGGACTTTGCATGCACAGTGCAGACAGTGTGAGCTTCCAACACCAGGATTCTTCATCTTCCCTTCTAATGAGTAATAATCACTGACTGGACTCTTCATAGATGTTTCTGCTCAGCAAGCTGATGAAAGTTCAGAAAAATAGAAACATTTGTTTTTTCAGTCACATCAACTTTGCTTGTTAAGATAAATGAATGCACTTTGTAGCTTTGCAGTGAATGAAGCCTCAGCTCGACGCTCCACTGAGTCCCTGTTTCTCCAAAAGTCAGCAGGAGTCCAGTTTTAAATATTTCCGTACAAATGTCCAGAGCAGCTACACGTGCCTGAATCCAGAAGGATCAAAGTCTTACAAAGTTCAGTTCAAACAGAGAGACTGAGAGGCAGCTAACTTCCTGTCTCTGCCAGACTATCAAAATAAAAGCATACATTTGAAGCAAAAGAAATCCAACTATGTCAGTCTGTAAGCACTGCTTCCCATATAATACAACTCTAAGCAAGTGAGCCTTAACTTTATACTTTTAACCTTTAACCCAAAAACTATGTTGATCATATAAACTCCACAAACTGCATCCAGGCTCCTGCACACGTCCTTTACATGTTAGCTGTTAGCTAATGCTTGTCAGTTTTTGTGAACTGGCCTTTATGTGTGTTGATGAAATAAAACAATGATTTTATTTGATTATTTCCTTTGTTCTAACCAGCTGGTGCACACTGTCCATCGTCCCGGGGCCTGTTACGCCTGCTAACATGTACATGCAGCTTTTTAGCAGCATTAGTGAAAACCTGGGAAACCCTCTGGATGGATGCTACAGTACAAATTTAGCAAATCATTGAGCTGTTTCTTGTTTTCACAAATGCTTACATTTGCTTTTATTGTAAAACATTTGCAGCCATAAGAGTTTGCAATGATAAGAAGCTGTGTTTGGCATTTACTTACTTACACGTGTCCTGGCACTTTTAATGCTTTTTTCTTAAATAAAAATGGTAACAAAATTAGAAGAAACACATTTCCCACTTTGTTCACGCTGATGTGTGTGTTAACCAGGCCTTACCAGCATGCAGGGACATGGTGGCTAAACCTCCTTAGGAAACTCAACTCCTTTGGAGTCAGCACACCCATCATGATGACTTTTTACTACGTCTTCCTGGAAAGCATCATGACCTTCTCCATCACCTGCTGGTCCCACTCCCTCAGCCTTCATACAGGAACAGACTGCAGCATCAGTGTGCTCTAAAATCATTGGCCTGCCTGTCAGAACTCTGGCAGGTTTTCATCAACAGGCCCTTAGACAGGCAGCCAAAATCATCAACGACCCCTCTCACATTCTTCACCCTGCATTTCAATGGCTCCCCTCTGGGCGACGCCTCCGCTGCATTTCCTGCAGGACTGAGAGGAGGAGGAGCGCCACCTTTGTCCCCAAAGCAGCTCTGCTTTTTAACTCCAGCTGATAAGAACATTTCCCACACCAGAAACATAAACTACACTCTTATACTACCAACACTTTACTCACTTTTAGTCACTTACAGTCAGTGTTGGGAAGGTTACTTTTAAAATGTATTCCATTACAGAATACAGAATACATGCCCCAAAATGTATTCTGTAACGTATTCCGTTACGTTACTCAATGACAGTAACGTATTCTGAATACTTTGGATTACTTAATATATTATCATGCTTTTTACAACAACGTGAATGTACTATTGCTGTGTGATTTATTACTATTACTGAAGGTCCGCGACATGTAGTAAAGGGACCTCTGACTAATGCGGCGGGGTCCCTGTCAGCTCGTAGCCGAAAAATAGCTTTACTTTGTTGTGTGGGTCAACTTTTCTTGCGACAGACAGAGAGAGGCGTTGAAAGACTGCTCTAACGGAAGTTATTGTTTTCGGAGGAAAACACGAACACGGTGTACAGTCGAGTCTTAATAGCTTACTTACAACTGGGCTCGTCAGGCTCACTTCTTGGCTGAAGTGGTTATTATTATATTTACATGCTTCCAGCTCCCGTTTTTCCTCGACGACAGCTCGTACCTTTCCACTCCCCTTTTTCTCCCTCCTCGCGCTCACAGACACATAACGTGTATGGCAGTCCATTCTCCTGCAGCACGGACTACACTGCCCATGATGCTACATTCTTTAGAGCTATGCTTGTAGCATTCTGCCTGTTAGCTTAGCACAACAACAACAACGAAAAGGCGCTCTCTCACCCAGGAAACACACAGTCGCAGAGAGAGAGAGAGAGAGAGAGAGCGTCACCCTGTAACCATGGCAACCGTAGCGCTGCCGCCTGGAACAACAGAACGTAGCTGTCAAACAAAACCCAAACAGTCCTGACCCGCGACTATATGAAACAGGAAATACCGCAGTGTAATCCATTTATTTCAACAAAGTAACTGTATTCTGAATACCACCTTTTTAAACGGTAACTGTAACGGAATACAGTTACTCATATTTTGTATTTTAAATACGTAACGGCGGTACATGTATTCCGTTACTCCCCAACACTGCTTACAGTTATTTATTCACCTTCAGTCACTTTAATTTTAAAACTGTATATATGTATTTATTATCTCACTCTTATTGTGCTGATCTTCAACGTCATGCTGCTCTGTTGTATGTTAATTGGCCCTTGGGGATAAATAAAGTCTCTCTGATTCTGTTCTTGTTTTTTTTATATTGGTAGTTTGATAGGTTTCGTATTTGTTTTCTTTTACATCATATTAAAATGTATAAATATATAGATTTAAATATATTTGTGTATTCATGTCTGGATTGTGTTTGGTTTTCTTTTATTTATTTCTGCTGTGGTTGTTGTGTATACTATTAGATTGTCTTTTTTCCATTATTGTAATTGTGTATAAAGTTTGATTTGAATGAAAGTTACACTCAAATGCTTTCAGTGTTGCTGTGTTGAGTGTTTTCATGTTTAATGTTTCTATGGAAGACACAGAAAGACATTCGGCTAAAGAAATCTGTGCTAGAGTGACTTTAAAACAATAAATAAACAGAATGTAAATAATGATGTTTAGTATTTGAGATGGAAGCTGTTTCTACAGGATCCTGATGGACACTCAAAGGTTTATAAAATGTTCTCATTAGTTGTTTACAGCAGAATATCAACCGATGTGAACCAAAACAACAAAAGTGTATGAGACTACAGATTCTAGAATCAGAACTGCTGATTTCATTACTCTGAACTTTTAAAGGCAGGTTTTGTATCTGAGAGCAGGGACACTTGCTGTGTTCAGTGTGACTCGTCTCTGCAGAAGGTCAGGGCTCTGATAGTTGCAGTTAGTGGGTGACTTACTGGGCAGGTGGATCCTGAGTGTCTGTGGAGTCAGGGTTCATTATGGTCCTGGTTGCTACTGGAAATAAAGAAACAAAAGGAGGGTGTGTTGTTCAGGAAGTACAGACTGTAGCTCAGCAGGTAGAATTACTAACTGGAAGGTTGGAGGTTTGATCCCTGGCTGCTCCAGTCTGCACGCCACGGTATCCTTGGGCAAGATGTGGAACCCCGACTTGCTCTCCGATGCATCCATCATAGTGTCATTGTTAGAAAAAGAAGTGCTTGTGTGAATGAAGCACGCTGTATAAAATGCTGTGACTGCTCATACAGAAAAGCAGCTCATAAGAAGTGGTTCATTTTCCAGATAATTCCACTATTAAGACAACAGACATTTGGGAGGCTTTCTCTGAGAGTAACACTGAAAGTCTTGCTGCTCCTCCACAAAATGAACTTCAGATTAAAGACACAGCTCAGCTAAACACAACTCAAACTAATCTACACTATTTTTCTTTATTACGCAGCGTTTTTATAACTATTTCCAGATGTTTCTAAAGATGAAAACAGAATTAAACTCCAGCCTGATGCGTTTCTGAGGTTCCTGACTCTGACCGTCCCTCAAACGCCTCTCTGGGCGTTTCCTTCCGTCGCTTTTACTTTCGCTTTCGTGAATGTTGTGGCGCAGTTGATCGTCTCCATGTTAAGGTAACGTTAGCAGTCTGTACTGTTTTCCTGGCTGACATCAGCTGTGTGCAGCTTAGTTTCAGCATAAATCTGCTTCGTTTTATGTGAGATCAGAGTCTGGGAACGAGACAGAAACAGTTGATGATCAGCAGCTGAACTCGATGTTACTGTGGATCCACTGACTGATGTCTGTAGGCAGCTTCTCCTGCCTCCATCAGTCTGTTACGGAAGCCCGTTTCCGCCACAAAAAAGGATCCATTCTCGAAATGTCGAGTTAGTTCTGCCAATCAGTAATCCAGCTACAATGCGCACTCAAACCCGCATCGCAACAAACCGGCGCTTTCGAGAGTACGTTAGCTGATATTAACGCCATGTGATTCAGCTAATAACAGAAGGATTTCATCATTTGTGAAGCCACACAGACAATAATCAGCGACTTGTGCATTTATGACTGGCTGTAATTCTGGTGTCTTAGCTGTAGCATTTGTAGCTGAGGGCTTCAGCTTCCGGGTAACAAGGAAATTACGTCATTCACGTAAATGACTGATTGACAGCACTAACTCTTAATTTTGAGTTAGTTTTATCAAAATTCCAAGTTAATAAGTCGAAATTACGAGAAAATAAGTCGAAATTTCGAGTTCTGGATCCTTCTTTTTTTTGTGACGCAAACGGGCTTCCAGTGTGTGGATGTTGTTTAACTGCTGACAGTGAGACAGGGCTGTCCTAAGAGTCGCTGCCAACACTTCATCTATAAAATGCATTTCTCTGCTCGTTCGCTATAGTCTGCTGTCGTATTTGTATGCAGGTTATTTTCAGTTTAACTGCTGATGTTCATTCGTGTATTGTAGGTGAATGCGTTGATGATTGATCATAAATGAGTAAACTGGCCGTTTTTGCTCAATAATTCCTGTTTCATGTTCAAACCATCAGACAGAAACTCTGCGTTTGTTTTTATGTTCTTCAGCCTGTTGTTCTTGAGGTAATCTGTGATGCGTTCAATGACCCTCCACATGCTCTGAGGCTCATTTGAAGAGAAACAGAACTTCATCTTTAGAGCATAAGTGGGTTTTTGCCCTCTTTATGCCCGCGGTCAGGCTCTGTTTATTGTAGTATAACACTCATAGGACACAGTGACCCGCTGCACACACACTGCACACACACTGCACACGCACTGCACACACACTGCACACACACTGCACACACACTGCACACACACTGCACACAATGACAGCTGCAGAGTTTGTGTCTGATGTATTAAGTATGAAACACTGTTGAGCTAAAATCTGGTCAGAATGAATCCAGGTGCAGGTGTGTCAGTTTAGGACCACTGGACTAACATCCAAGTGCTCACAATATAAAGTGTATTCTGTAGTAACATCCTGGTGTTGCAGCAACAATCCCACATGGAAACGTCAACACTCAAAATCTCTTTTTGTCAACAATAAAATGACAGCAGACCAATTTGAACAAAGTTGGTAAAAAGCTTCAGAAATTAGTAAAATATTAAAAAGTGTCTTGATGCTCAATCATCCAGTAAATCCCCAAAAAGTTGATTCTCTTCATCTGGATGTTTTCAGCAGCATGGATCAGTGTGAGGACAGAGAGGAGGAGTCCCTCCTCTAAAGCACTCTGTGTGGGGAACATGAGAGCCAGACCAAAGCTCAGAGGTGAGATGACCATCTCTAACTGTCCATGACTCTTCTCCATGTCACAGCTCAGCACTCACATCACTGCTCCATCATTATTCACACTCATACCTCTGTGTGTGTTGTTTTAAAGCCAGAGCTGTGGGCGTACCAGGCTCAGCTGGACATAACCCTGAAACTAATCCAGAGCCTGGACCTGAACCCAGCTGTGTTTCCTTGAAGAGCAACGAGTCGAAGGATTTTGTTTTAAACTTTAAAGGATGTTCTTCTGCTGCTGAGAGGTAATGTATGTCTAGATGTTGTTCCTGACTCTGTATTTCTGAATAATCCTCATGTTTAATATCAGCTCAGATCTTTTTCACACATTTCTATGTTGGTATGTGAAGCGGTGTGTGTTGGAGTGTTTCCACAAACACAGCAGTCAGAGTGGAAGAGTGGATGTTGTAGGAGG